TTCCAGAAAGGCTTCCTTCTTGGTGACTCTTTAGGTGACTTCTGACTGGGAGCAGATTCCTCCAGTGGTGATAAGGGAAGCTTAGGGAAACGGAAAGAGGTCTGAACACATCCAAGATTGTTTCCACCTGTAGCACCTCAATGGTCCTTGATAACTATAAACATAAAAGATAATCTGACTCGTGGGAATTCTAAAAGCAGGCAGAATATCAGAAACTGCTGGGGTACTACTTAACAAGATGTATGTGCAGATCCCATGGGTAAATTCAGCAGGTGTTACATAAAGTCTGGATGGAATCTGCATTTAATAATCATTTCAGAGGCTTAGAATGCCTCTGATCCATGGAATACATAGGAAAGCCACTAGATTAAATGTCTGTCACATGTTAGTGGCATACTTGTGTTTTTAAAAAAAAGCTTTAAAAAGGCCTAAATGTATTATGCTTTAAAATTATTATATACATCAAAATATAGACACAAGATAGGAAATGTTATTATCATCATGCTTCAGCTATCAGTCATCGACTACCTAACACATAAATCCCTTTAGAAGATCACAATGGTCAGCTATTCATGAAGTATCACAGAGGAGAGAAAAAAACAGCCAAAGGAAGACAATATTTAAGTCTAATAATGCCAAATTTCTCAGACTTCTGTGGAAAACAATATCAATAGTGCCAGAATCAATAAACTTTATCAGTAAAGGCTGAGATAGTAAATATTTTCAGATTTGCAGGCCATAGAGTTTCTGTGGCATTACTTACCTCTGCCACTAGAGCCACAGACAGTAAGTAAATGAATGGGGACTACTCTGTGTCACTGGAAACGATTTAAAGAAGCATAAGCTGAATTTGGTCCACAAGCTATAGTTTACCCTGTGTTGATACAGTGAGGAAAAAAAGCACTGTGATAAGTTACCAACTTCAAGACCCCCGTTGCTTTATAGAAACATAATTTTTACATATGTATTTGCAAGAAGAACCACCTCAAGTTAGAATTTTACAGGAAAAAAATTCACATAAAACTTGATTACGAGAATTTGTATCCATGCAAACCTATTTTAATCAGATGAGACCTGGCTGACCAGTATGGAGATCTTTAATCAAAGTAAAGTGTTCTGAAATTTCTGACAAAAGAATAAGCTTGACAGCGGCACACATTGTTATGACCCTAGAAAATCAGTATGCCTCACAAAAAAACTCTTAGAACAAAATTTTAAGTGTTTTCAGCATCTGTAAAATGAGCTGATGTTTTATTTTCATTAACATAATCCAGAAAAAAAATTAGGTAACCTTTATTTCCTTAAAAGTCAAAAAAAAGTTGCTCATCTAGACTGGTTAAAAGCTTGGAAAGTCATAAGCAACATTTCTTTATTTTATTTCCATGGCTTTAGGGGCTACAAATGATTTTTGGTTACATGGATAAATGTAGAGCGCCAAATAGTCTGGGCTTTACGTGTATGCTCCACCCACACCTGTGCACACTGTACTCGACAGGTGAATTTTCATCCCTACTCCTGCTCCCCTGAGTCTTCAATGTCCATTATGTTGTTCTATATGCCTTTGCAGTTCCTTAGTTTTGTTCCCACTTGTAAGAAAGAACAAGTAATGCTTGATTTTCCATTCCTGCACTATTTCACTTAGGATGATGGTTTCCAATTCCAATCAAGTTGCTGCAAAAGACATTATTTTATTCTTTTTTATTGCTGAATAATGTTCCATGGTGTGGGTATGTGTATCATTTTTTCATTACCCACTGCTCAGTCGATGGGCATTTAGGTTGATTCCACTTCTTTACATTTATGAATTGTGCAGTGATGAACATATCGGTATACATCTTTTTTGTATAACAACCTATGTTCCTTTGGATGGACTCCAAGTAGTGGGGTTGCTGGATCAAATGATAATTCTATTTTAGTTCTTTGAGAAATCTCCATACCAATTTTCATAGAGGTTGTACTAATTTACACCCCCACCAACAGGGGATAAACATTCTCTTTTCACTACATCCACACCAATATCCATAGTTGTGTTTTATTTTAATAATGGACAGGCAATATTTCTCACACACACACACACACACAGATAGAGACAGAGACAGACAGAAAGAGACAGAGGGAGAGCTGACTGACCAGATAACACATAATATTATTAATAATTCTGTTTTAAAGAAGTGGAAAAAATAGCCCATTTTTACAACCACAGTGTGCTAATTGCTCAAAAATTAGTCCTCCTGAAATAAAATTGAAAAAGGCATTACAATCCTTATACCCTTCACATGCCAACAGCTGCAGGTTCAGACATGCCAACTGGTAAGGAGACGTCAATTAGAAAGATATCACATGTTAACATAAGTACCGCCTGTCAAATCCTGCAACCTCCAATCAGTTTAGTTTCTCCACTTAGAAAATGGAATTGAACTACCTGGTGCTCATTTCTGGGGTTATAGACACTGATTAGAAAGGCAAATAATATCTTTCTTATAATATATAATTTCAATCTGCCTTACCTACTAAAACCAATTATTTAGGTCTAAACCTAATATTACAGTAGTCAAGTTAGACGAGAACAAAGATTACTCGATGAAAAAAGAAAAGAGAATTGCCTTCTCTTTTAAAGGATAACAAGCTTGAAATAAACCAGTCTCAGTATTATTTGTTCTTTCTTTAATTTTTAAATTTTTTTTTTGTTGGAATGCCAGTTAGAATTTTAAAAGTTAGCAGCAACAAGCTTCCACTGTGGTTCTGTAGATCATATTATTCTACATATATATATGAGCTATCTAATATACATGTTACATATAGTATATACATGCATAATTTGCTGTATGTATCAGAATGACAGAACCCAAGATTTTAAGTTCACCAAGAATCCAAAATAGTGTCATAATATCCTTACTCTTAAATAGCATTAAGAACCCAGAACTTAAGATAAAATAATGGTGCCTAAGAATGAACTGAACAACCGTATTTTGGGAGAAAATGTTCTATGGGTCTGCCACATTCTTGCAGGTCCTATGACCAGATGCTGACTGCCTTTGTTTGGGACTATCCTTTTAGGGATATGTGAACAGCAAGCAGCCACAGATAACAGAGATAGTACCACCCTCTGAGAAAAAGAGAAAGTGTACAGTCTAGTAAAATAAAAATAATGTCTCCTTCCAGGGAAAAGATCAGGCAGGCTTACTGCTCATTATAAAAGGTTCAAGCTCCTTAGGTTTGGACTCTTCTGTAATGCAGGCCACTGCATATGCAGGTACTCCTGGTCTTCATACTGCCCTGTAGGTGGTGGGGTCGGCAATTTGGCACAAATAATGATACTCTGCCTAATGCTGTCACTGTGACTAATAAAGAGCCCTTTTTCCCTTGCAAAAGACTCTATCTTCTGCTAGCATCAGTGAAATGTGGTAAATTAACTTCAGACGTTTTACAGTTTTTGACTCTCTCTATGTATATATAGGAGAAAGGGAGAGAGAGAGAGAGAAAGAAGGGGTCTCCCTCTGTGGCCCAGGGTAGAATGCAATGAGTGACTAGATGCCTGCTCACTGTAGCCTCAACCTCTTGGACTTAGGCAATGCTTCCACCTCAGCATCCCAAGTAGCTGGCACTATGTGTCACCACACCTGGCTTTTTTTG